GGCGGGGCTCCCCGGGGGGGGGGGGGCGGCTCTGTGGCCGCCGGCTCGGCGCGGCTCCTGTCGCGATCTGTCGCGATTTGTCGCGCTCTGTCGCGCCCTGTCGCGCCGGCCCCGGCCAGGGCTGGGCCTGCCCACGGGGGCGGCAGCGCGGGGGGGGGTCGGCTCTGTGGCCGCCGGCTCGGCGCGGCTCCTGTCGCGATCTGTCGCGATTTGTCGCGATCTGTCGCGCCCTGTCGCGCCGGCCCCGCGGCTCCAGGCCCGCCCATGGAGGCCGCGCCGCGGTTGGTGCCCGGGGTGGCCCTGCCGGGGTCTCTTTCGCCGGCGCCTCCCCCCGCCGCCGCCACCAGCGGCGACCCGCCACCCTCAGGGCCACCCTCAGGGCCGCCCTCAGGGCCAGCAGCGGCGCCGCCGCAGCACGACAGCGGCGACGTCCTGCAGCAGATCATGGCCATCACCGACCAGAGCTTGGATGAGGCCCAGGCCAGGTACGGGGAGGCGACACCGGCCACGGGGACCGGGGACAGCGGCACGGCCGTGACTCAGCGCGGGGACACCGCGGGGCCACCGCGGGGACACTGAGGGGACACCGAGGGAGGGGTTTGTGAGGGAAACTTCGCCGCTATTCCCGGCTTTCCCGCTTCGTTCAGGGCCCCGCATCCCGGCCGGTGCTGCCGCTTCTTCCCCGCGTCCTTCCCGCTCTGGGGCAATTCACGGGGGTTTTGCCCCATTCCCAGCGGGCTTGTCCCATTGCCGGGTGCTTTTACCCCATTCCCAGGCGTTTTGCCCCATTCCCATGGTTTCTGTCCTATTCCCAGCGGGTTTCCCCCGTTTCCACAGTTTTGCCCCATTCCCGGTGTTTCCCCCCATTTCCAGTGGGTTTTGCCCCATTCCTGGTGTTTTCACCCCATTCCCAGTGGTTTTGCCCCATTTTCAGTGGGTTTTGCCCCATTCCCATCAGTTTTGCCCCATTCCTGGTGTTTTCACCCAATTTCCAGTGGCTTTTGCTCCATTTCTAATGTTTTTGCCCCATTTCCAATGGGTTTTGCCCTGTTCCCAGTGTTTTTGCCCCATTCCTGGTGATTTCCCCCCATTCCCATCGGTTTTGCCCCATTCCTGGTGTTTTCCCCCATTTTCAGTGGGTTTTGCCCCATTTCCAGTGTTTTCGCCCCATTCCCAGTGGTTTGTGCCATTCCTGGCAGGTTCTTCCTCATTCTCGGTGTTTTTATCCCATTTCCAGTGGGTTTTTCCCCCAATCCTGAGGGGTTTCCTCCTTTCCCGGCAGGTTCTTCCTCATTCCCAGTGGTTTTTTTTCCCATTTCCAGTGATTTTCCCCAGTTCCCAGGGGTTTTCCCCCATTCCCAGCAAGTTTTTTTCCCATTCCCAACTGGTTCTGCCCCATTCCTGGGGATTTCCCCCCATTCCCTGTGGGTTTTCCCCCATTCCCTGGGGTTTTGTCCCATTTCCAGGGATTTTACCCCATTCCTTGTTGGATTTCCCCCATTTCCAGGGATTTTACCCCATTCCCTGTGGGATTTCCCCAATTTCCAGGGATGTTATCCCATTCCTTGTGGGATTTCTCCCATTCCAGGGGTTTTTACCCCATTTCCAGCAGTTTTGCCCTATTCCTGGTGGGGTTAGGCAGGACAATCCCAGGCAGCACTGCTGGGAATGGGGAAAACCCCTCAGGAATGTGGGAAGAAACCCAGGAATGGGACAAAAACCACTGGGAATGTGGGAAAACTTATTGGAATTGGGGAAAACCCCAAGACAATGGGGAAAACCTCACTGGGAATGGGGCAAAACTGCTGAAAATGAGAGGAAAAAACCCCTGGGAATGGGAAAAACCCCACTGGGAATGAGGGAAAACCCTCGGGAATGGGGGAAAAAACTCCAGGATTGGGGGAAAAACTTCAGGAATGGGGAAAAAAACACTGGGAATGAGGGAAGCCCCACTGGGAATGGGGGAAAAACCCCAGGAATGGGAAAAGCCCCACTGGGAATGAGGGAAAAAACCCCAGGAATGGGAAAACTGGAGCTTTTTGGGGCTGGGTGGGATAATTTGGAATAAATCCTCCATCCTCCCCCAGGAATTCCTGAATTTTAGGGAAAACCTGCACTGGGAATGAGCAGAATTCCAGGATTTTGGCTGGTTGTGCATTCCTTAATTAACTGCGGGTAATTAACGGCTCATTAGCTGCTGCTCCGGGAGGGAAATGCCTCAAATCCTACAAAAATTGGGCTTTTTTGGGGTGTTTTCCCTCATTCACGAGGTTTTTGGGGAGCTGGGAGTGGTCTCGGTTCACGGGGCTGATAAAAGTCTCCGTTTTTCCTTATCTCGCCCCAAAATTGGGCCCCTTTTGGGTGCGGCAGCCCCGAATTCCAGCTGTTTCCATGGATTATTCGAAATTTCGGGGGGAGTTTTCCCTCCAAACCCTCAAAATTTGTGATTAAAGTAATTTTTTGAGTTGTTTTTTGGGGATGGAATTGTCAATTTTGCCACTCAAATTCCCTTTTTTTGCCCCAGTTTTGGGCATTCCCCACCTGCAGCTCCTGTAGGGATTCCCTAAATTTGGATTTCATGGAATACTGAGGAGAATTTTGGGATATTTGGGGTAACTTTGAGTTTGTCGGCAGTTTTAATTCCCATAAATTGAGGAATGAGCTTTTTTTAAACCAAATCCTTTCAATATTAACCCAAACCCACAATCTGCTTCCCAATTTTCCAGTATTTTCAGTGAAAAATCCACTTTTTTTCCCGCTGGCTGCAACGTTTGTTGGATTTTAGGCGTTTACGGCCATTAATTAGGGATTAATTATTAATTTTCTATTAAAAATGCGAATTTTCGGAGTTCCCAAGCCCTTGGAAAGTCCCAAAATTGATAATTTTAAAATCCAAGTTCCCAGTTTAGAGCAGGAAGCGGACCCGGTAGGGAGGAGCCGAGCGGGACTTAATAATGAATAATTAATTACGAATTAATTATTAATTACTTAATTAACCAGCGCTGCCTTCGGGGACCTAAATCGAAGGTTTTAGCCCAAAAAAGGGGTGGTTTTAGTGGGATTTTCCCCTCACATTCCCGGGTTTTTTGAGGACAATGGGATCGGAGCCGCCTTTGTTCTCCGGCCGCGGCTCCCGGGGTTTTTCTTTTCCCGCCGATTTTTTTTTAGGGCAAAATCCCGAATTTTTGGGACAAAACCCGCGAGGTTCTGAGGGAAAAATTCCAAGGATTTGAGGGGAAATCCCAGGATTTGGGGCGGGGCTGATGGGGAGCCCGGATTGGGGAGGTTGGCAGGGCGGGAAAATCGGGATTTGCTGGGAAAATGAGAGAAAAGTGGATTTTTAATGGATTTTCTGAGGGGAAAAAGGGCTCAAAAGCAGCAAGGAAAAAATGGATTTTGAGGGGGTTTCTACAGAGGATTTTTCCCGGTGGAATTTGGGCCCAAACTCTCTAAAATTGGGGAATTTGAGGACTATATATTAAAAAAAATCCATTAAATTTAGCTACAAATAGATTTTTCTGAGGTAAAAAAGGGCTAAAATCAGTTAAAAAATGAGATTTTGAGGTGGATTTTGCATCCAGTGGATTTTTCCCAAAAATTTAGCCCCAAAATTCTGAAAAAGTAGGACTTTTCCTTCCAGAAAAATGAGATTAAACCCCCAAAAAACCCCCCAAAATTCCCATTTTCCTCCGGATTTTCCCCACTCGCCTGCTCTTCCTGTGACGTGACCCAAATTTGGGGTTTTTTCCATGGATTTTGGGGCTGATTTTTCCATATTTTTTTGCAGGAAGCACGCCCTGAACTGCCACAGGATGAAGCCGGCCCTGTTCAGCGTCCTCTGTGAAATCAAGGAAAAAACAGGTCTGAATTCCTCCTTTTTATTTCCATTTTTTCCCTCAAATCCCACTTTTTCTTCTCAGTTTTCCCCCCATTCCACTTTATCCTGATTTTCCCTCACAGATTCACAATTTAAAGTTTTCTAAAAAATTTTTTTAGGTTGAAATTTGAGGTTTTTGGAGTTTTTTAAGGGAGGAAAAAGAAATTTTGGGGTTGTTTTATGGGGAAATTCCAGGATTTGGGAGTTTTTTTAGGAAATTCCCTCTGGAACCTGGAAAATCCCAGTTTTTTCTCTCCAAATCCAGAAATTTGCAGATTTTACCCAGAAAAATGAGAAGAAATCAGGAAGCCCCATTTTTTTTCTTCCATTTCTCCTCATTTCTTCCATTATTTTTTTCCTCTCACTCCACTTTAACAGAACAGGAACATCCACATGAAACGAGAAAATCCAAAATTTTCTTCCTGAAACTACCATAAATGACAAATCCACTTTTTTTCCCCTCCTTTTTCCTAATTTTTCCTGGTTTTCCATGGTTTCCCTCATTTTTTCCCCCATTTTCCCCCTCCTCTTTCCTACCCATTTTTCCTTTTTTCCCCGTCTCATTTTTTCCATTTTTCCTCCTTTTTTGTCCATTTTTCTTCCTTTTTTCCCACTTTCCCCCCATTTTGGCCCATATTTCCCCATTTTTTCCCAATTTCCCCTCGTTTCCCCCCATTTCCCCTCATTTTTCCCCATTTTCCCCTCATTTCACCTCATTTTCCCTCCTTTTTCCTCCCATTTCCCCTCATTTCCCCCCCATTTCCCCTCGTTTCCCCCATTTCACCCCAATTTTCCCTCATTTTTCCCAATTTTCCCCCATTCCCCCCATTTCCCGCCCATTCCCCCCATTTTCCCCAATTTCCCCTCATTCCCCCCATTTCCCCTCATTTTTTCCCCAATTTCCCCTCATTTCCCCCTCACTTCTCACTCCATGTTCCCCCTCCTTTTTACCCATTTCTCCCCATTTCCCCCTATTTTCCCCCATTTTCCCCATTTCCCCCATTTTTCCCTCAATTCCCCCATTTTTCCCCCTTTTTCCCCCACTATCCCCTATTTTTCCCTCATTTTTCCCCTATTTCCCCTCCTTTTTCCCCCATTTTTCCCTCATTTCCCCCTCATTTTCCCCCATTCCCCCCATTTCCCCTCATTTTTTCCCCAATTTCCCCTCATTTCCGCCCATTTTTCCCCTATTTTCCCCTCATTTCCCCCCCATTTTCCCCATTTCCTGCCCATTTCCCCTCATTTCCCCTCCTTTTCCCCCAATTTCTCCCCATTTCCCCTCATTTCCCCCCCATTTTCCCCAATTTCCTCTCATTGTCCCTCCTTTTTCCTCCCATTTTCCCCCATTTCCCCTCATTCCCCCTCACCCCAAAAAGCGGCGGAAGGAGCCGGGAAAGGCGCGGCGGCGGCGCCGGGGGGCTGCGGGCACGAGCTCGGCGCGGAGCACGCCGACTACCGCGCCAAGCTGGCGCAGATCCGGCACATCTTCCACGCCGAGCTGGACAAGTACGACCAGGTGATCCCAGGGAGAAAATTTGGGGGTTTTTGGGGGGTTTTTGGGGGTTTTGGCGGGGGGAAGGGAGGTGGGGGAGTGCGGGGTTTGGTGGTGGGGAGTTAAGGGGGATTAAAGGGGATTAAAGGGGAATTTAAAGGGATTAAGGGAAAATTAAATGGGATTAAGGGGGAGATGAAGGGGATTAAAGGGAAAATTAAAGGGGAAATTAAATGGGATTAAGGGGGAGATTAAAGGGATTAAAGGGAAGATTAAGGGGGAGATTAAAGGGACTAAAGGGAAAATTAAATGGGATTAAAGGGAAAATTAAATGGGATTAAAGGGGAAATTAAGGGGGAGATTAAAGGGAAGATTAAAAGGGATTAAGGGGGAAATTAAAGAGAAAATTAAATGGGATTAAAGGGAAAATTAAAGGGAAAATTAAATGGGATTGAGGGGGGGATTAAAGGGAAAATTAAAGAGAAAATTAAAGGGGATTAAAGGGAAAATTAAAGGGGATTAAGGGGGAGATTCCTTTCCCATTTCCCCCAAATCCTCCATTTCCCCCCATTTTTCCCCCTAAATCCCAATTTTTTCCCCACTTTCCCCTAAATCCCCCATTTTTCCTTCGAAATCCTCCATTTTCCCCATTTTCCACCCTAAACCCCCCATTTTATTCCCATTTTCCCCTTTAACTCCCACATTTTCCCTCTAAATCCCCCATTTTTCCCCATTTTCCCCTAAATCCCCATTTTCCCCTAAATCTCCATTTTCCCCCATTTTTCCCCCATTTCCCCCCGATTTTCCCCATTTTTTCCCCATTTCCCCCTCTAAATCCCCCATTTTCCCATTTTTTCCCCATTTTTTCCCCATTTCCTCCCTAAATCCCCCATTTTCCCCATTTTTTCCCCATT